TTCTTTTTAAATAGTATTTTTATAATGTGTAAGGCATATATAGGTCAGTGCAAAAAAAATCTTTGAAATTCATCAAACCATTTTGTTTTTATAGCTGTTTGAAATTGAAGAAAATATTGACGCATTTTTTTTCTCCTGGTCTGTAAATAATACTTAATTTGTGATTTACTTAATGAAAAATAAAAACTGAAGTTTAAACATTTTTTTTGTGCAGTTTTGTTAATACCTAAAAAAATTCTAAAATATATGAAAATATATTTTTTTAATTAAAAAGAAAGTAACAGGAAAAAAAAGGTTGCAAGAGGCCGCAAATAAACTCAAATGTATTATTAAATATAGGCTTTCTATTTTTATGTGTAAAATTTTCACAGTCCGATTATCACCGGAAATTGAGTAATGTAAATTTGAATTTTAATTGTTTGTACGAGTGGATATTCGAGGTTGCGTAATTATGAAAATCAACTTTCACGGACGATTCAGGAATATCTGTTGATAACATGCGACAAAATGTTATTGATAAAAAAGGAGAATTAGAAAAAACTTAGTTAGTTCAGAGAATTCAAAAAAATTAGAAGATGAAAAAGATAACATCAAGAAAATTTTAAAGCAAATTGACAGATACGTAAAAAAATATTCAAAGTTGAAACAAAACAAACTTTTGGCCAAATCGGAAATTTGGAGAAACGAAGTGGGGATAAAACTGCCCGGGAATCTACCTGCAGCAGCATCATTGTCATCCAGGGGTGATGTAGAAGAAGAGGGAGCTCTGCAAGCTAAAAGAGGACGGAAATCAAAAAGAGTAGGGTAAAAGTTTAGGTGTTGACATTTATTTGAACTTCATAAGCATCATGTTATTTGGGACACCCAGTAGCTAATTTTTTACTTTTCATAATACATTATTACTTAATTTAGCTATCAACCTGAAAAACGTAGCTACAACAAAATTCTGGATGATTTTGTGGACATCGTGGAAAAATATCGTGGAAAAACAAACTGAACAGGGAGTAGAGTATACTTATCTATATAATTAGAGTATAGTAGAGTATATTTATCTATATAATTATCAGGGAGTAGATAAGTCAAAATACTATATATTTATCAAAATTTTCTATATTATTACTATATTATTATCTTAATATTTCAAATCTATTATATAATATGAAGTTTCAAATCTTGTAATAAATTTTCATTTTTTCTAAAGTGCGCATTTTTATTTTTAAAGTTTGTTACATCAATTTTTTTTTAAAGTTTATTCCACCAGAAGAATTAGTTATTCAGTTTCATGATTTTAAGAAATTATATGATTTGAAATTAAAAAATTGCAAATCCGCGTTTTTAAAGTTTTAAACAGTTTGTTAAATAATTTTTAGTATTAACAACCATTTAACTAAAGTTTATAATAAAAGTAAATATATCTTAATACAAAATGATTCTTTCAACATATGAAGGGTTTTAGTAAAAAAAAAAAAAAATCAAAATAATATTGTCCACCATACGTCTAATATCCGGCCCACTTGTTATAGTTTGAAAACCAATTCTGTGAACATTTACATTTAATAATATAGAAATTGTTATAAAAAAGCTCAAGTTTGAACCTCGTAAAAATTTGACCTGTAATGAAACAGGCATTACAACTGTTCATAAATCATATATCAGTTATAACAATAAAAGGAAAATAGTATATATATATATATATATATATAGCTATAACAACAAAAGAAAAACATTGTGTTTCTTCAGTAACTAGTGGTCAACGAAATGTAACGACAACTGTTGTTTTTATAATATAGTTATATATAGTATAAATAGACATCTGTTGTTTTTATAATAACTGTTGTTTTTATAATATAACTTTTTATAATATAGAATTTGGATAATGGTTAAATGAACATCCTGGACGAAAATGACAAATAATCAACTTAGAGGTATATTCTCCAAAACCTATCATGAAGCTGCCTCTGTAGAAGTTGCCTGTTCTGGCTTTCGTACATCTGGAATTTAACTTTTGCGTCGGAATATAATTCCAGACATTAAGTTTAATAATGACAAAAGTTCTAATGCTAACTTACATAAACCTGATAAATTTGATTCACAAGTTAATTCAAGCACCTTATTACCATTGTCGTCAAGATGTACAGAAAATATTTATTTTAATACAGTAATACATTGCTTTTCTAATGTTTTAGCTATTTCAAAGTTCAATTTATTACCAAAAAAAGGAGAAATCACAGATAATAACAACATCACATTATAGAATATCACTATTTAAGACTTTCTGTTATTTTCTATATCCTCTGAAAAATCAAAAAAGTTGGGCTCATTTGGGTTGTTGTTCATTTCAAAATACTGGTGAAGCTTTTGTGATTTATGTGACTTGTGACAGTGTGTTTGATTATATGATTGACTAGTGAAAGTTTGATAATGTATTATCTTTGTTTGATTATATATTATGTATTATTATTAGATGTATTATATTATAAAATGTTTATCTTGCTCTTAAAAATCTGTTTATCATTAGTTTTATGAATTACTTATTAAATAGTCTGTCTCATTTTGTCCCACTATGTGGGGCAAAATGAGACAGGATATATGTTGTCAATACATGATCTCTGGTGACCAAATTAGGATGGTAGAACATTTGAAAAATATCAAGTTCTTTTTTTGAAAGTCAGGGTTAGGGTTTTTGAAAGTCAGGGTTCTTAGACAGCGTGTATTAGATAAATTTGTGCTTAAGGATCTCTTTTTGCCCTTTGCTACCCTAACATTTGTGATTTTCTATACTATACTTCTATTTAACTTCGAAAAAAACTAAATTTAAAAAACGGAAATTATGCCTCCAGTAAGTTTAATCTGATAGTATTTTTTCAAAAAAACACCAGCAAACTTTAAATCAAATTGTAAGATTTGTCGAGACTTGTAACACCTCAACACCTAGCATCTACTCTTCACATTCGCATAAAAAAAAGCACATAGCTGGGCCAACGACACTGGTTTTGAAGTGGGGGGGGGGGGGCACAATCATCAATTTATAGCACGTGTCCCCAAGCCCCCCAGTGTTGTCGGCCCTGCAAAGACATTAACAAACAGTTTAAGGAAAAGAAAAAGAGAGTTGCTGCAGATGAGCTTGCTAGTACAACAAAAAGATTCAAACTTGGTTTCTTAGTGCAAAAAATACTTTCTGACAGATCATAGTACTTTCTGATAGATTTTGCAGACCGACACTCCATTCAATATTATTCAACATTCCATTCAATATTGTTCAATATTCCATTAATATTGTACATACAGACCAACATTCCATTCAATATTGTAATATCTCCACTACAGGTTTTGTTGATTGAACTCTAGGCTTACCTTTAAAGACGCAACCAACTATTACAGAAAGTCTACCAAAACTTTATGAAAAAGTTAAGAAATGTGTCTTTGCTGAATTTACTAAAAATATTCCAACTCTGATTTAACAACTGATTTAACATTCACCACTGATATATGGAGAAGCAAAATCAATGATGCTTTTAGTGCATTATCTTGCGATTGCAATTTACAAGATAATAAACTTTAATAATTCCTTGTTGGATTGGAACTATTCAGGGATAATAGACACATTAGGAAACTAATTGCCATTCAGTTACATGCCCTGATGACATTCTCAATCTTCTTTTAAATTTCAACTATCACATTTTGAATAACTGCGTATTTACTTTTTCATGAATCTAATGCTTTTGCTTAAATTCGCATTTTACATTTTGTTACCAAACAACTTAAAAAAAAAAAAAAATTTAATTTATGTTTCAATTTTCTGTAACATTTGTTTAAGTTTTTTATGAACCAGCATTTTTCTGTTTAAGGTTGTCTTTTAATTACGGTCATTTAAAGTTTTGACGAACGAAAGATTTATGTTATCATTTACTTTAGTTTAATAATAATAACAATAAGTAATAATAATAATAACAATAATATTTTTTGTTACAAGTTTTTTGGATGTTGCATCAAAGACAGAGGTATAAATGTCATCTTGGCAGTTAAAAAAATCTCGCAGTTGCAAACAGAAATTATAAGTGGTGATTGCACTTGGTAGTGACAAAAAGATTGCTAACGTGAAACTGATCAAAGAGTCTATCGAAAAATGTGGTGAATTGGCTGCGCACCTGCTTAGAAGCACATTGTTATGTATCATGAACCTGAAATTAGATATGTTTTATATTTAAAACTAAGTTAACTTTTCATTTACATTTGTTTTGCTATTTTTTATTTTCATAAAACGGGCTACAAATATGTTTACTTATTTAATATTCTTTGTGCTTACAGCATACTAGTAACTTGCTGACCTAAAGAATGAAGAGTATATGAAACAGTTACTAACAGCTATGGTTAGCATATTGCAAAATACAATAAAGAAGATGGTATAGAGAGCACCATCTATGCTATCGCTCACCTGTTAGACCCAGTCATTCAATCAACTCCTTGACAGATAGCAGAAAAGATATGAAATGATCGAAATATGCATCCAAAATTGAACATCATCTAGACTTATCTGCTTAGGAAATTGACCAACTCTTACTTCTGGCTGCACTATCTAAGGATGATGTTTTAAATGGAAATCCAAAAACACTTCTGACATTCAAGCAGAGCTTAAACAATATATTTTATTATCATTGGTAGAAAAAGAAACTGATGTTTACCATTGGTTATAAGGAAAATATATCCCGTTCCAGGTTCCTTGCTTCTTATATATATAATTCAACTTTCTTGTCATAAAAAAGTTTATCAATGTTATCATTAGATAAGAATAGGTTTGTAACATCAGCAAACTTAAGTATTGTTAATTTTGAGACTTAAAAGAGATTGTTAACATAAGGGAGAAACAATAATGTTCCTAGTATAGATTGTATCCTTTTTGAACTCCACACGTTATATTATATATGTTCAAAAAACTTTTTTTTAAATCTAATTAAAAAAATTGTTTTTTCATGCAATGAGTTTAAAAAGTTCAAAAAATATTTAAAATTCAACAACAACAACAATTAAGTTAGTTGGAAAATACGTTATTACAATATTAAAACATAAAAACCAAAATTTTAATTATATACAATTTTATTATTGTTTTTATTATATATTAAAACTGGTTTTTAACTTTATATTTTATATTACCAACACTTTATGGGTTTGACCATATTTTTCCAAATTTGACCAAAATATTTCCGAAAGCTAGTGTTCATAGCAGAATATATTAAAGGGTTTAAAGTGGTACTTAAACAAACCCACATCGCTCCAACCGTTGTTAGGTAAGGTTTCTTGAGGTCAACGTTAAAAGAATATAATATTGCTCCTACAAAGATAGGAGTCCAACAGAAAAAAAAGCCTAGGACAAGTACCATTAGCCTTTTTGTAATTCGAACTTCTTTAAAATGGTTTTTTATAGCAAATATTTGTTGATTATCTTTAATATTCAACCTTGGTATACCCAAATAGTTTACAGTGAAGACTTTCTCGTTATCCTTTTCTGTCGAATCTTTATTCTTATATTTATTGTAATAATTTAGCACTTTTTTATCACTTATGCTTAATGATTTTTTTATATCTTGGTAATTGATCAGTTCAACAGGAGCTTCATCTGAATTCTTTATTTTGTTCGCAGTGTCAGCTATTTTTATGGAGTTTATACTTCTTCTCAGTTTCTTTTTTTCGACTTTGTTTAACAAAAAAAAAATGCGCATGTACAAACTTGCCAAAAAAACCATTGGTATTATATAAACTAATAAACCAAGAAAAACTGTGTACGATATATTTTTTTTGCCATTAATGGTACAAAAACTGGAAGTTGATTTAAATTCGCTCCAGCCAATCAAAGGTGGAGCTGAAATAATTACAGAAAATATCCAAACGCTCCCAATAATTAAAACAGTTTTTTTTCTTGTGTAAAGTGTTTTTATAATGTTGGCTTTTGCAACATTTAAGTATCTGTTGATGCTTATCATAACAAGAGTCCATATTGATGTTGTTAAGAAAAGTAATGTAAAAAAACCTATAACCACACAAATAGAGTTTTCTTTCGACAATGTTTTTGCAAAACCTTTATAAAAAATTGCTGATATGCCAAACACAGTAAATAAAAGATCAGCTATTGCCAAATTAAAAATGAAGAAGTTTGTTGTAGTTTGCAATTTTTTATTTTTCAAAATAATAATAATGACAAACGAATTAATAATTATACCAAGGAATATACATATGGAATAATGTACGGATGTAATTTTAGTAATATCTTTAGAACGCATCATTCGCTGTTGCTATTTGTCTTTTTACATTTAGTTGCTTGATTTTTAATAAATTATTTTTTGTGTTTACTTACTTCATTTTTTATACAAAGGTTTCAGATAACATTTAAGCTGCACTTCATTATTAATATTTGTTTATATGTCAACATATGTAAATATGCAAATATTTCACACCAAAGTTAAATTTTTTTTAAATGTAATATAATTAATTATAGTTGATCTAGAATACTTTGATTGATTTCATTAATATTTCATAATATGATGAGTGATTTCATAATATGAGCGTGTTACTTGATAAAAAAAAAATTTATCAAGAGTAATTTTTATTTATTTATATTTCTGCATTTAAAATTAATTCGTAAATAATAAATTTTCAAGTTGATGCATTTTGTATAAGTATATATAAATATTTTGTATTTTGTACGTATATAAGTCAAAATCTTCTAAAAAATGTCATATTATCGCAAAAGTCTCATACTGAACAAAATGTGAAATTGGTCATGAAATATAAAATGAATATAAACTTTGTTAACAACTGCAAAAAAAAAAAAAAAAATGTTAATAGTAATTTAACTATTGTTGTTCCTAGGCTCCAATTACTTAATTTATTGGCAATTTTTTTTTTTTTTTTTTTTGTCAAACAAAAAACTAGATTTGAATTCTTTTCTAATAAATTGAGACAAAAATACTAAAAAACATAGGTAACTATGTTTGATCACCAATAAATTTAAGCTGTTTGCGTTTCACAAACTTTTTTTCTAATAAAGTAGAAAAAAAGTTTGTGAAAAAAAAGTAGAAAAAAAGTGGGGACATAACCGCATATGGAGACACAACCGTTTTTTAACATTTCCCTTTGAACAACGTTATTTAATATTGCAAAAAGCATACCACACGTTAGTAAAACAGTTTTCTTCATATCGCTTATGTAAAAAAGAATACCTGTTGCGATCTGAGAAGTTTTTGTTGCGTTTCTGATAAGTTGTTACAATGTTTATTTTGATGCAATATTTCATTTTAGAGTCAAAGATATGTGTTATCAGTGTTATTTCATTAATTAAAAACCATTTTTGATATCAACATAACCTAATAGGCATTCTATGAAACTATATTTTTTCTAAAAACTGTCGTCTGGGGCACAACCGCACAGGAGGCACAACCGCATACTTATGATGTTTTTCAAAGTTAGGTCATTACACATGACAAATATTACAATCGTCACACTTAAATGCATTCATTTAAAAACTTAGATAGAAATAGTTTTGTTTAAGATAATGCAAATTAGATTTTGTATTTTTTTATTTAATTTGTATAAACGAGTTTTTGATCAAAGTATAAAGCTAAGAGTATAAATCGAAATCTTGTTATGTTTATGTATATTGGATATTATATATATATATATATATATATATATATATATATATATATATATATATATATATATATATATATATATATATATATATATATATATATATATTACGCTGCATTTTAAAAAACAGTAATAGTTAAAAGTTTATTAAAGATGACGTGATTTGTTGATGTTCATCATTACGAGATGAACCAATAATTATTGGGTTGTTTCACCATTTCTTTAAGTATAATTATTTGTAAAATTATTAGTAAAAATAACAAAATTGTTGTAAAATTCAAAAAATTCAAAGAGTGCTTTTATTATAAATAACATATAACGTAACCTTTATCTGACTAGCTAATTTGAATATAATAAAATTTTATTATCGTTAAGAATCACATCCTTTGGCATTCTAAAATTTATAAGATATTACAGGCATTTTATGGTAAAGTAACGTTTTTAAATTGCTCGATTTAGTTTAAAAGAACCTTAAGGAAACCTTTATTGTTAAAGAGTAAGCTTACATACTTTTCAACAATGCATTACCTGCTTTAAATTTCCATGATTTCTGTTTAATTTGCGAATTATTATAAGATTTAAAGTTGAAAACTGATTAATCAGCAAGACAAGGCTTCTAAAATGTGAAAAATTTAAAACACATCTCGAAAATCTTAGCTTTAAAATACAAGTTGTCTGTCTGAACCGAATCTAAGTGAGTTCTTAGAAAATACAAGTTGTATACGTCTGAACTGAATGCAAGTGAGTTCTCAGTGACCCTTTTAAATATGAATTTAGCATCAGAAGCAGAAACTAATCGCAAAATTTTCACCTTTTGCTTCCTGATGTTTGAGTAAAGTGTATTTTTTAACTTTTGAATAATTTAGTATTATTTAGTATTATTTTGACTTTTGCTTTAATCTCAACTTTTTCTTTACATATGCATAATGCTCATAAATATTGACACTGTTAGTTGTTTCTTTAAAATTCTTAGTAAAGTAAATGTTTGTTTCAATCTACTTATTTTGTAAGAGTAGAACAAATTATTTTAATACAAATTAAAAATACATCGGATACTTTAAAAGTTACTATATGACTAACTACTTTACCTTCAACATGGAGAACAATATTTTAATCTCAATATATATCTTGTTTTTTTAAATATAATTGCGTGCCACAGTCCCCATAGCGTTTCTGTTTAACACTCGCCATTCTTAAATTTAAATCTTTAATTTCTATTTCTAAGCAGTTTATTACACAAGCATTAAACATAGTTTGATTTCTGTAACTTATCTCTTTTCTTACACTTACAAGTGTTGTTACTGCTATAAGGCCGTCTACGATAATAAATGTCAATAATATTACTTGCATCTGTTTATTTTTCTTTATTTATTTTAGATGGTTGGACTTTATTTAGCCTTTCTGTTTTAAACCATAATATACTGCTAAGTAAACTTGAACACTACGGCATTAGAAATAAAAACTTACTTTGTTTTAAAGACTATTTAACAGAACAATAAAAAACAAAAAAGCTATAATCGAAAGAGAATCATTGGTAAACTTTTTAGGCGTTGAATCGGACGAAAATTTAAGATAAGCTTTCATATGACTAGTCTTGAAAAATTTTTTCTTAGAAATATAGGAATGATTTACAGAACTATTTCTTAATTTTAAATCACTAAAAGGTTTATACTTTACATTTATCCAAAGTTACCTAGCATGCTGTAACGTCGCCTGGGCAAGTAACAATCATACAAAATTAAAAAAACTTTTCAGTAAACAAAAACATTCATGTCGAATTATATTTGGAACAAAAAGAGCAGAACCCTGTGAGCCTTTATTGTGTTTACTTGGAGCTTTAAATATTTATAAAATAAATTTACATGAAATTTTAGTTTTTATGTATAGAACTAAGGTGGGAATGTCAAAATCTGCCATAAATTTAGCACAAAATTTTATAAAAATGGGGCTCGGTGATAAGACTTTCTTCTTCTTGCTGAAGCCATTACTTATTTTGTTGTATATATATGAAAAAAGTATTGTAAAAAGCGAAATACTAAACAAAAACAACAAGATAAATAAAAATTGTTTTAACTCTTTAATATTTTTAATATCTTTTTAGAATCTTTATAAAATTAGAACTATGAAGAAATTTTTTTGACAAAAGTTTAATAAAGTAATAAACAATTTAATAAATTAGCCAAACAACAATTATTGACTTCAAAACATACAACGATTCTTTTTTTTTTTTTTATTAAAAATTTACGAAAACTTAACTCTTTTCCCTCTTCTTCCTTTTTTAATATTACTTATCTATAATGTGACTAATTACATTCCTCTAACTATGTAACTAATTCATCCTCTGTATCATCCTCTAACTATGCAATCCTCTGTATCAACCTCTGTATCATCCTCTAACTATGTAACTAATTCATCCTCTGTATCATCCTCTAACTATGCAATCCTCTGTATCAACCTCTGTATCATCCTCTAACTATGTAACTAATTCATCCTCTGTATCATCCTCTGTATCCATCCTAATGTATCCTCTAACTATGTAACTATTTCATTCCTATGATCTTTAAGGAATAAAAGATCTTTCATTGTGTTTTTTGTTTCAATACTCAAACGGATTTATATTTTTATGCCAATAGACCATAGGAAATCATCTTAAAACCTTTGATTATACTTTTAAAATCTTCAAATATACTTTGATATTTATGCAAGACTTGAACTTTTTTGATTATCTAAACCGTGTTCTCTATAACAAACATCAGTAAGGTAAGAAAATTTACTTTAGTTAGCTAAAAATAAAAATTACCAAAAACCAGTAGTCAAAAATTATGTGGTAGCAACGGCAAATAATGTTGGGTGGTATATGAGCACATAAAATGGTTAATCATAATATGGATTATCATGATGAAGAAAGTCTTAATCTTTGAAAAACTCTTATTCACTGAGTCTCTAAATTCACTGTACCTCACCTTCCCCTATCCAGTAAAAAAAATGCTTGTTCCAAATGGGCTCCATGTGGGCTTCCATGTATCCCACACGGTTCCTACATTAAACCCATGTTGGAAAAAACGTTTTTTAACTTCTTTTTACTAAATAGAACCAACCCAGTGAAAAAAGAGCGAGTGAACGAGAAAGAAAAAGTGAACAAAAACAAGTTGACAAAAAATCGGTAACACAATTTCTGTGAACATGCAGTACGTATAGTAATTAAAAAGAGCAAAGCATTTCTACTGTAAGAAAATGTAATGCAAGTAAAACTGCATTTTCAAGTTTACAGCGGTATGTGGAAAAAGCTAAACAATATGGTCCTGATGAGTAATGTACACACAACTACAGGTTTTCACTAATGAAGGAGAAATATTGTTAAAAGACTAATAAAGGCCTTCAGAATACATTATGAACTTGGTCAAACTAATTTAAAAATTAGCTTATGGTTTGCTAACCACAAGAGGAAAATTGATTCACAATCATGGACAAAAAAGTTCACTGTTGGAAAAGAAAAATCTTACTACTTGTCGTTTGGCTTTATAAATAGATTGAAAGATCTTTTTTGACGTAAACCAGATGAAAGTAGTTTGTCACGTGTAACAAGTTTTAATTAAAAAAATATTGCATAATTTTTTAAAAATATGCAAGAAATTCATTTAAAATATAATTTTAATTCTAATGACATTTATAATGCCTATGAGACAGGTTGTAATGT